GCTCTTCCAGCTGCAGGTACAAGTAACGACTTCACCTCTGGTCAGGAAGTGACCTGTGTCCTTTGTGACCATCTGTCACTGGGGACAAGTTGGGGATCTGAGAGGACAAATGGCCATACTTTTTATTTTTTCATTTTTTATTGCCAGATGATGTATGAGCTCACCAAAGAGCGACACAGTGACAGAGACAGATTCCGAGACAGGGAGAGCATGCTTCGATGGGGGCTTGGGGCATGTAAGGCGTGTTTTCCAACCATCAGGGCTGGCATTCAAACTGCAGTTGGCTGTGTGGGGTCAGGCTTTCTTAACCGCTAGGCTATGGCGTCAGCCCAGCCGTACTTACAAACACACGCAAAAACAGCAGCTCTGGCCGTCGCCTCAGCTCAGGAGGGCTGCTGGGTCCTGACCACTGGCCTCTCCTGCCAGGGAAGGGTCCTGTCAGCGACTCTGGGCACACTGGTGGGGACAGATGGGGATGCTGCCTGGAGCTCAGCCAGACCTGCAGGCTACAGGGCTCGGGAAGCTCTGCCCTGCCGGGCAGCGATATGAAAAAGAGCCTGGGAGGTGCCACCTGGGCATGGCCCACTAGCATGGGGAGGCTCCAAGCTCCGACAGCAGGGAAAACCCTCAAGTCTGCCCACCCCTGGAACCATGGGTCACTGCTAAGAGTGACCCTCCTCACATCGCCAGAGCAAGCATGCCCAAGGATGCACTGCGGCTGCCTCAGAGGCGGGAGAATCTGCATGCAGCTGGTGGGGACCCTGTTTTGTACCCAAGGATAAAATGTGGCCCCCACAAACGCCCACGCCTGGGGTTTGGGATGCTGTTTTCTCCTAGGTCCCTGACGACCACTCTGGCTCACTGCTCTTGCCCGTTGGTCCATCACTCCAGCTGTAACGGAGTGTGTCCTGGTGAAGTCTAATGCCAAGGCTGAGGGTGGCAGGCGTGTTACCGTGCACTCGGCCGGCCGGCCTGGCTCAGTGTGCTCATGGCCAGCGGAGCAGAGTTCATGCTGGGCCCCTCCAGGGCCTGGCTCAGGTGTGCCCAGGACAGGGTGGGCCAGCATGCCCCTCGTTGGGATGGAGGGGCGCCCTCTGGCAGCGGGCACAGCGGAGCTTTGTCCCGCCCCCCACTGCTGGCTGTCCAGACGTGGTGAATGGCGCTGTTGTGGTATTTTAAGAAGATTCTACAAATAGCCCCAGCTCAGAATGGGCCTCAGAGCCTGGCTCATGAATGCTGTGCTAGGAAGGCGAAGGCAGGCCAGCCTGGGAGCCGGGACAATGGGGCCTCACAGGGGAGGGCCTGGCAGGATGGCGGGTGACCCTGGCCTTTTCCGGGGCTATGCAGCCTTACCTCCCCAGACCCTCCCGGGCCCTCCCACGCAGCCCAGTCCTCTGTGAGTGGCTTCCCTGGAGTTTATTGGGGTGGGGTCCCCCACCCCAGCCCCTCTGAATAATGGGAGGCGCCTGCTGCTCTGGGTTTCCGGGGATCTCCAGGCTCCGAAGATGCCCTATGGGTCGGGCGGGGGTGGGCAGGAAGGAAGGGCGACTTTGCATTTTCATCAGAGATTGCTTTATTGGGGCCAGAGGAACCTCAAAGACCCATAGCACTAGTCAAGGGTGAGTGACTGGAATCTTTCCGGGAGCCCATCACGGAGACTTGGAAGACAGCTAAGGGAGAGAAAAGAGCTGGACTGTGGAGCCAGCCCGAGCTGGGCTCGTGTCGCTTCGCCAGGGACATCTGGGCGGCCCAGAACAAGCTACTCACCTCTCAGAGCCTTGATGTCCACACGCCTCTGAAACCAAAGGCGCGGGGGCGGGGGGCGGAGAAACCAGAGGCCCGGAAACCCTCCTGGGCATCGACCTCTCCCCCACGTGCAAGACCACCGTCATTTATTTAGCGCCTGGGCGCGTTCTGGGCACAGAGCATTTCTGAACACCGGCTGCGGGCAGGGCAGGAGGGCCCTTCTGACGGTGTGACTACAGACTCGGGCTGTCAGTCGGAGTGCAGGGAGCAGGGCAACAGGGACGGCCGAGGCTTGCAGCTAAGTGGGAGGCTCAAGTCAGAGCCACTTTAAGCACTGAAAGACGTGAGGCAAGAGCAACAGGGTGACGTAGGGAGAAAGGCCAGACCTCTAACATATCCTGAGCCAGGCCCCAGCCAAGGGCTGTCCTAGAGGTGCCTGTGAGGGTGGTGCCCTCACCAGGCTCCCCCAGCCCCACACCTTCCTTGAACGAGTCTCACAGCTACCACCCCACCACACTACCTAGAACCGGAAGCACGACTCCCACGCTGCAAGGTCCCAACACAGCTTCGTGTGGCGCTCGTGTGCAACTCAAGGGGACCAAACTAGAATGGGGCCAGGCAGCCTCGTCAGAGCAGGGCTCGGAGCCTTAGGGGGAGCTTAGCCGGGCCACTCCCTTGCCATGTGGTCTTGGGCAAGTCATTTCCTCTCTTTGGGTATTTTTTGACTTTTGTTTTGTTTTTAAAACAAAAGTCATCTGGAAAGTGGGAAGGCTAGGCAAGGGTGATCTCCAAGCCTGTGTAGCACACCCTAAAAATCACCAGCAAGGGCGAGGGCAGCGCTCAGACCGTGGCCCACCGACCCTCCCTGGAGCTCTGCACCAGAGGAGACCCTGTTAGGCCTTCAGCCTGGACTGGGGAGAGGGAGAGAGTGGCCTGTTTGCTGGCAGGTGACTGCCAGGGTATCTGGTACCCCACTACCTTAGAGGTGCCCCGGCTCTGTGGGGAGCACTGCGGGGCGCTGGTGGACACGCACCCCACCAAGTCCTCCTCCGCCTTTACACGGCAGCCCTGTGAGGCGATGCTCGCCCGGCCAGGAAGCACAGCAGGTCACAGTGCTGGGACCAGGAGTTGTACCCAGGGAGGCCTGCCTGCAGCTCACGCTGTCCATCCTGCACCCTCCATTCCCGAGGGGCTGGTGCTCTGACCACAAGGCCGTGTGACCTTGGGGAGTGACACAGGCCACCCTCAGTCTGACTCTCCTCAGCGGTAAGCTGGGGAAATCTAAGCTGCCTAATCTTAGAGCTCTTTCCCCGCTCCTACGCTCAGGGGCACTCGTCCCTGGAAGTTGTTGACACCGGCTGGGTTGCCAATGCTCTGCAGGCCCAGATGTTCAGAATGGAAGTGGGCCTTGGGCCTCAGCGGGTCTAAGCAGCCCTGCCGGGCCAGCCTTGAACATTTCAGGTGCTAGATAGTAGGGGCCCCGAGGAACCCCAGGCAGGCTGGGGCAGACGTACAGACATCTTCCAGCGTTTATACAAACCTCCCGCAGTCCTGGCAAGCGTCACCTGGACCGGCCATGGCTGCAGAGAGAGCTCCCAGGCAGGGAGGGATCTGGGTGCCACAGGTGCGGGTGCAGGATGCCGACCCTCCCTTGCAGAGGTGGGGCTGGGCGGCTGGAGGGCAGGGGCAGAGGGCCTCTGCAGCCCTGGTGTACACTGTGGGCTCTGCATATCCGTGCACGGTCCCATGTGGCAGCAGCCACTGCGATGTCACCAACCGTGACCAGCTGTCTAAGTCATAAAACACTGAACAGGAGTGGGGTGGAGAGGGTGCTGCTCCTACGGGGCCCTGGCAGGTTAGGCGAACACTGTCCCTTCCTGCTGCTGTGGGACTCTCGGCGTCACTGGGGGAGCTGAGAGTGAAGGGCTGAGGCACAGGCCCCGCTAGGTCTACTTAGCCCTCATTCCGAGGGACAGCCTGAGCAGATGAGGGGGCAGAAAAGTGGCTTCTCCAGGGACAGGTCCCACCCCTGGTGCCAAGAGGAACTCTGAGGGACTGTAAGTGACTAATTCGCAGAGAGGAACCTGGCCTGGCTGAAGCCACAGAGGAGAAGCCGTTGATCCACGCCTGACCCCTGGTTCTTCCTAAATTGGTGGGGATCCAGGGTGCCTCAGACCTTTGGTTTCGAGTTTCATTAGCAAAGGGCTGCTTTTCTTCCAGAACTTCGGGGCTCTCCCCTGTATCTGTTGCGGCGAATGTGTGCTGTCACGTTGTGTGGAACTAAAATGAAGTAACACAAGAGTCCTGGTTACTGGGGTGGCCTCTGGGGCTGGAGAGTCTGATGGGAATCAGCTCTGAGTGACCACGGGTGGATCCAACCTGTTTCCGCATCCCTAAAACAAGTCTAACAGAAGGCACTGGAGGGTTATTGCGAGGACGAGATGAACTCATACACGGAGTTCGCCAGGACAGGGCCTGGCCCAGTGTTACACATTTTCAACAAAACCACACTGGCCTCGTTTTTCAGTCTCACCCTAAGCCTCCAGCCAAAGAATAACCATTCCCATTATCAGGCATTTTCTGCCTACCAAAAACCTGATATACAGAGGCCAACTTCATCCTTGAGGTCACCTATAGCTCCATTTATCGACAAAGGTATCCCTCATTGGCTCAGAAAAGTGACCTGTTTCCAAGACACCATAAACAGCAGGCGGCAGAACCGGAACTCGGAACCAGAGCTACCCCGCTCCAAGCTCATGAGCCTCCCACGCTTCACTCTGCATCCTTGAGGCCAGACTCGCAGGCACCTCAACGGCTGCCAAGGTACCACCTAGTACCCGGTCAAGTTTAGTTCGGACGGCCAAGGTCCCTCCAGAATAAGGCCTGAGTATAGATGCTCCTTGTCTTCTGGTGGGGCTATGTCCCAGTAAAACTCAAATAATCCCAAAATACTGTAGTCGAAATCAGGCATTTTGTTAACATAATATAACAGGATGTCAAAACACGATGTCCAACGAACACTGACAACACAGTACACTGTGGAGTACCAGCTCTTTCCAAGCAGGATCGTGTGGCGGACGTCATGGCTGGGTGCCACTGCCCAGCTTTGCAAGACAGTGTCGTACCCACGTAGTATGGCTCCTACTGAACGCGTATCACTTTTGCAACTTCATGAAGATGAAAACTTGCAAGTCCAAACAGTTTAAGTCAGGGACTGTCTATACCTGCTCCCATCCCTTGTTATGAGTAAGCATCCTAGAAATTGCTTTTACCTAGAGCACTGTCCCAACTTAATCTATCTTACAGCTCCTTGAAAAAGCACTGTCATTATTTATCTTGACTCCTAGCTCACTCTGATTTCAGGGCATTTGTCAAAAACAGTCCACAGTAAATCTTTACCGATATAGCTGCCTAATGCTATGATACCTACTGGGGCAAATGAGCTGGCTAAAATGTAAAATTTAATGAGGAAGTAGACAACCGCTGGGGAGTTTTGAAAAGCACTGACATATTTTTAAAGATCTAGAAGCCATGGGCATGTGTATATCTTACATAAAAAGACAGTAGAGGCTAGCATGTAGAGTGGTAGCTAAGGCTCTGGATTCCAGCATGGTTGAGTGCAGTTCAAGTCCCAGATCTGACAGCCTGAAAATCATGCCAAGTGCACGTGTATGTATGTACATGCTCAAAATCTCAAAAGGAGAATGGAGAAGGAGAGATTATTACCACCACTGGGAGGTGATTTCTCACTTTCCCTCTCTTTGTCTCTCTGGCAAATGCACACACCCTGTGGCAAAAACCTAAAAAATAAATAAAATAAGATACAGAAAACAGCAAAATGTTGAACATAAATCTACCTTGTCAGTAATTACATTAAATATAAATGAATTAAATAACCCCACAAAAAGTCAATGACTGGCAAATGGATTTTAAAAATGATCTGTAAGAGCGTGGCTGAGGAGCCCTACGTCTTTCAAACTGACATCTTGGGAACCAGCAGTTAGCGTAATGGCTATGTCGCTGGACTCCCATGTAGTAGACCGTGGTTCGCGTCCTGGACCCGGTGGCTTAGAATTCACGCCAGGCGCGTGTGCGTGCGTGCCCAAGATCCTGAGAGGAGAATGGAGGAGAAGGGATTGCGGTGTGACCATCCCCCCTGGGGGTGATTTCTCGCTTTCTGTCTCTCTGTCTCTGTCTTTCTGGCGAGTGCATGTGCCTTATAGCAAAAACCTCTCAAAACACAAAACAAAACAAAAAAAAAACAACCTGACATCTTGTTTGCCCTCCACTTCTCCCATACAGTATACCATGCAGTATAACCACCTGTTTTGCTCCCTCCCCAACCCAGGTGGCCATTGTTAACATGGATTGATTCTGGGAACTTATGGCAAATATGCTCCTGACCCACATACAGCCTCTTTGAATTCCTATATTGTAAAATAATAAAGATCTCAAACCAATAATCTAACTTTATATCTTAAAAAAAACTACACAAAGAAGAAACCAAATTTAAATTAAACAGAAGAAAATAATTTAGAATAGAAATAAAGACTAGAAGAACAATTGGGAAAATAAAACAAACATTGATTCTCTCACAAGTTCATCAGTTTTGACAAACTTTAGCTACACTGTCCAAGAGAAAAAGAAAAAAATTCAAACTACTAAATGGGCTCCGCTTTGGTAGCACAGTCAGTAGTATTCTGAACTGCAGTGCTGGGAGCCACGTAATTGACCAGGGGCTCAGATCCCTGGCAAAGTCCATGGCGTGCATGGTGTACATGCCAGGTGTATACACAGGTGCCCAAGAACCTAATGAGCTGGAGGGCTGGGGGAAGGGATAGGGGTATGTCAAGACTCTGCTCTAGGGGCATTTCTCTTTTGCTCTCATGTAGATGCTCTCTATCATGAATAAATTTTAAAACTTAAAAAAAGTAATAAACGAGAAGGTATCACTATCAACTGTACAACATAAAAAGAATGATAAAGGAATAATTTGAACAAGTGTATGCCCACAAAATTTCCTAAAAAGATACAAACTACTAAAAATGACTTAAGAGGAAATAGAAAATCTACATAAACTTTTGACAAGAGAATGAATTAATAAAATACTCCCCCAATGAAAAGTATAGGACCACAGTGAATTTCACCAAACACTGAAAAAAGAATTCATATGAAAGTTCACAAACTCTTCCACAACACAGAAGAGGCGAAAACAGTTCTCAATTCCTTCCATGTACCCAGTGTTCCTCTGATACCAAAAAGAGCCAAAGACATTGCAAGAAAACTACAGAACTTATCCCTTATGAATACAGAGACAAAAAATCCTCAATTAGCAAAATACAATTCAAATGCCATCAACTGATGAAACAAAATGTAGTATACTCATATTATGGATTATTACTCTGCCATGAAAAGGAATAAAGAGGGCCAGTCTGGTGTTAGAGTGGTAATGCACTGCTCAAGTAAGGCTGGATCCATGTGGAAGACCATAGAATGGATTACCCACATGGTTGAGCACATGAGAAACATGCCAGGTGTATGTGTGTGCATGCCCAAAATCCTGAAGAGAGGGAGAAATAGAGGAGAAGGGATTGCAGTGCGATCATCCCCCACGGGGGGAGGCGACGATGAGCCCCTCCCCACAACCCGCCTTTTATCTCTCTCTAGTGAGTGCGTGCATTCTGGCAAATTAGAAATAAATAAGAGTGAAGTTGCGGTACGTGGATGACTTTAAAGGCATGCTGCTAGTGAGAGAAGGCCATTGTGAAAGGCTGCATTTTGTACGGTAGGAGTTCAGTGCTGCCTGCAATTGCAGGCCACGGGAGCGAGGTGGGGGCATTGTCTCAGCAAAGCGAAGCGAGTCCTAACGGGCACGGGGTTTCTTTCTGGAGTAATGAAAACGTTCTAGTTAGACTGCTGATGGTTACATAATTCCGTAAATATACCAAAAATTGCTGAGTTTCAATAAAGCTGTCAAAAGAGTCTGGGGTGTCTGGGAGAGAGCCTAACAGATGACAACTCAGGCAGGTGGTGACTCAGCTACACAGAGCTGGGGGAGGGGGTGCAGAGGGGTATTTTGGGGTATTTGAATGCTCCCCATTTTGGTCCTAGGAAACCTGAGGAAGGATGGGTGCAAGGACTCAGACTAATAGGACAAGAAACAACTGCCTCTGGGCACTCTCCTCCTGCTCTGGTCAGGTGGTCGGACCGTGAGGCTCTGGGCACTCTCCTCCCGCTCTGGTCAGGTGGTCGGACCGTGAGGCTCTGGGCACTCTCCTCCCGCTCTGGTCAGGTGGTCGGACGTGAGGCTCTGGACACTCTCCTCCCGCTCTGGTCAGGTGGTCGGACCGTGAGGCTCTGGACACTCTCCTCCCGCTCTGGTCAGGTGGTCAGGACCGTGAGGCTCTGGCAGGCTTGCTACCCTAATGGCCAAGGTCAGAAACTTTGGGCAACCCTAGGACTGGTTCTTCTCTGGAGCCACAAAGTCACCCCGGCATCTGGGCACCAGCAGTGTGGTGGCTATGTGCTGCTCATGAACTCAGTCAAAGGAGGGCCGCTGACCCAGCCGTGAGGCTCTGGGCACTCTCCTCCCGCTCTGGTCAGGTGGTCGGACCGTGAGGCTCTGGGCACTCTCCTCCCGCTCTGGTCAGGTGGTGGAACGTGAGGCTCTGGACACTCTCCTCCCGCTCTGGTCAGGTGGTCGGACCGTGAGGCTCTGGACACTCTCCTCCCGCTCTGGTCAGGTGGTCAGGACCGTGAGGCTCTGGCAGGCTTGCTACCCTAATGGCCAAGGTCAGAAACTTTGGGCAACCCTAGGACTGGTTCTTCTCTGGAGCCACAAAGTCACCCCGGCATCTGGGCACCAGCAGTGTGGTGGCTATGTGCTGCTCATGAACTCAGTCAAAGGAGGGCCGCTGACCCAGCCCTGCTGCCCCAGCACCTTCCACCCCTCCACTGTAGGACCCTGAACTCCAAGCAGGTGAGAGAAGCCTGAGCCTCGTAATGCCCACTGCCAGGAACACAGAGAAGTTCCGCTTTTCCTCAGGGAATCATCCGAGGCCCGAGCTTCCAGAGAGCTTAGGGGTCATCCAGACTTGCCCGTTTCTCTCTCTGCAGATGGAGAAACAGAGGTTCTGAATGGTAACCCGTCTAGTAGAAGGGGGAGCGAGGACATGGCCAGGTTCTCTGGCAGCCCCTGGACTCAGATGCCTGTCCTCACTTATGGGTGGGAATTCAGAGGCTCAGAGAGGTGAGGGGTGGCACAGGTAGGAATGGAACTAACTCTCTGCCTGAGGCTGGTTCCCTTCTAGAGGAAACCACAGGGCTGCGGTCCTGGACATTGCAATGGGGACGAGGTCACGAAGAGTGACACTTCTCAGACACAGGCAGGACTGGAGGCTAACTCCCCAGGACGCTAACTCCCCAACCTCACACCTGTTCACGTCGGCTCTGCGCTGCCGTCGGTGTCAGGTCAGACACGAGTCCTCCACACTGCCTGGCCTCGGCCAGCCTCCTGGTTCGAGCAAAGCACAGAGCCTGCCCTCGCCTCAAGAGAGCGTCTAGCTCACTCGGCAAGAGCAGATTTTGCTAAGAAATGCCCCGTTTATTTCTGCACCGAGACAAGTATTTTCCAGGAAAAATGCATGATGGCGAGTGAGCAAATAAGAGGGCCAGGGAAGGCCTGCACCACGACCTGCATGTCGGTGGCCCCAAAGTTCACAAGTTGAAATTGAACGCAAGAGTATGCCGATGCGAGGCTCTAGGGAAGCGGATAGGTCATGAGGGC